TCTAAGAAGCCAGAATAGTTTTTTTACGGGGAGAAACAGGAGTGGACAGAGTAGAGGCAACGCGCGCTTAAAATCTACCGTGACCAGGTAACCTTCTCTGCGGAAGTTGGAAAGGGTGTTATACGTTCTCTTCTCGCCGTGCGCTGAGACCGAGACGGTAGCGGTCAATGAAATAGGTGTCTTTAAAAAAAAAAACGATTCTGAAAAGCCAGAATCTTTCTTTTTCAATAAAATTAAAAATGATACCTCAAACTACAAAGGAAGAACCTGGGGGCCCTTCCCCCTCCTCACTCTCTTCCGCCAACCCCCAACCCCACCAAAACACCCTTCACGGTTTTCGCTGTAAAGGCGGCCTGTGCCTCGTAGAGGCGGTCATCTAGTCTTCAGTGCACAGCGAGAAAAAACCAAAACTCCCTGAATACCCTGCCCGGCATCGGGTCCGTAGGCAATGATCGGCGACCGTCTCGGTCTCAGCGCACGGCGAGGAGAGACCGTAACACCCTGTCCGGCTTTCACAGTGAGAGTTACCTAGTCGCGGTACACGCACACCGCTGGTTGTCTCTCCCTCTGCTCACCCCTGTTTCTCTCCGCAAAAATTATTCTGGCTTCTCAGCATCGTTTTTGAAAAACTAAACTAGTTTCTGGTTGCCAGGTTCGTTTTTGAAAAATGAAACTGGAAACTAGAAACTAGACACTAACTTCAGCGCTCTGTGTCAAATTACAAGTTCGGTGTTACTATTTACTATGATATGCTAGTTAATGAAGTACAGATGTGTATTGAATGTATAAATTGTCACATATGATATTGGTCGGTCTGAGTACAATTAGAACACTAGCTATAGTTTTTAAATTATTTTTATTACTTTTAATTTTAATTAATTATTCTTATTTTCTGTAATTTTGGGTTTATTTTTTTGTTTAAGATTCACGGTATACTATTTTTAAGGTCAGCTGATAATTTGAATGAACCTGTTACTGTTTATAAGTGAAGAAAATTTTCTAAAATTTCATAATTATCCACTTATATTTTCTGTCAAATCCGCACCGATTGTCAATAGCTAATATATCCCCCGGCTTCAATACTGTAAACATCAATAATACCCCCCCCC